TGACAGAGCAAGACCCTCTCCCTAAAAAAAATAATGTGTGTATTAACTAGGCTTTTTAAAAAGTTTGAATATCTAATTATGTAAGTGATAAGTGAATATATTATCATAATGAAAATTCAGACCTTAAAAAAAAAAAAAAGAAAATTCAGACCTTACAGCCAATGCTTAAAGGAGCCCTGACCAGTTCTCCAAACCTCTACTTTCTCCACAGTAACTTCTGCCATCAGTTTCATATGTAACCTTTAAGACCTTTTTTGTGCAACCACACACACACACACACACACACACTCACTCACATACATGGATGCATATACACATTTTTTGTTTGCTTTTTTAGGCGGAGTCTCATTCTGTCACCCAGGCTGGAGTGCAGTGGTGCGATCTTGTCTCACTGCAACCCCTGCCTCCTGCGTTCAAGCAATTCTCCTACCTCAGCCACCTGAGTAACTGGGATTACAAGCGCCTGCCCCTACACCCAGCTAATTTGTTGTTGTTGTTGTTGTTGTTGTTGTTGTTGTTAGTAGAGACAGGGTTTCATCATGTTGGCCAGCCTGGTCTCAAACTCCTGACCTCAGGTGATCCACCCGCCTTGGCTTTCCAAAGTGCTGGGATTACAGGTGTGAACCACCATCCTGGCCTATATACAGATTTTTGTGCACATTTTAAATATAAGTAATATAATTTTATATAGCATATATTCATAGGGTATGAATTTTATTTTATTATAGGCTCACACCTGTAATCCCAGCACTTTGGGAGGCCAAGGCAAGTGGATCACCAGGTCAGGAGATTGAGACCATCCTGGCTAACATGGTGAAACCCCATCTCTACTAAAAATACAAAAAAATTGGCTGGGTGTGGTGGCTTACGCCTGTAATCCCAGCACTTTGGGAGGCCGAGACGGGCAGATCACGAGGTCAGGAGATCAAGACCATCCTGGCTTAGCACAGTGAAACCCCATCTCTACTAAAAATACAAAAAAATTAGCCGGGCGTGGTGGTGGGCGCCTGTAGTCCCAGCTGCTGGGGAAACTGAGGCAGGGGAATGGCATGAACCCGGGAGGTAGACCTTGCAGTGAGCCGAGATCACGCCACTGCACTCCAGCCTGGGTGACAGAGCAAGACTCCATTTCAAACAAAAACAAAAAAATTAGCCAGGTGTGGTGGCGGGTGCCTGTAGTCCCAGCCACTAAGGAGGTTGAGGCAGGAGAATGGCGTGAACCCGGGAGGTGAGGCTTGCAGTGAGCCAAGATCGAGCCACTGCAGTCCAGCCTGAGTGACAGAGCGAGACTCTGTCTCAAAAAATAAATAAATAAATAAATAAATAAATAAACAAACAAAAAGTCTTTTTTTGTAGAGATGGGATCTCCTATGTTGCCCAGACTAGTCTCGAACTCCTGGCCTCGAGTCATTCTCCTGCCTCGGCCTCAGGCATGAGCCGCTGCGCCAGACTACGCTTGCCAATTTTATCTTTATTTGGAAGAGGGGTGTTGTGTGAACTCTTTGAGCGTCTGGCTTCTGAGATTCCTTCAGATGATCGTAGGCCGCGGTGAGGGGCTTGTAGTCTTGCTGTGGAAGATTCCTTCTTGTGAGCACCCCAGTGTGTTTATCTCTTCTGTTGTGTGGATACTGGGTTTTCTACTTTGAGGCTGTGGAGCAGGGATCTGCAGCCAGTGTGACCCAGCTCTGTTTCAAATAGAACTGCCACGAACATTCCTATATGTATGAAATTCAGATTTAGGCCAGGTGTGGTGGCTCACATCTGTAATCCCAGCACTCTGGGAGGCCAAGGCGGGCAGATCATGAGGTCAGGAGATTGAGACCATCCTGGTTAACATGGTGAAACCCCAAACCTGTCTCTATTAAAAAAACTAGCCGAGCGTAGCAGCACACACCTGTAGTCCCAGCTACTCAGGAGGTTGAGGCAGGAAAATCGCTTGAACCTGGGAGGTGGAGGCTGCAGTGAACCGAGATCGCGCCACCATACTCCAGCCTGGGTGACAGAGACTCCGTCTCAAAAAAAAAAAAAAAAAAAAAATTCATATTTAAGATTGACAATTTGGGAGCTGGGCATGGTGGCTCATGCCTGTAATCCCAGCACCTTGGGAGGCCAAGATGGGAGGATCGCTTGAGCCCAGGAGTTCGAGACCAGGTTGGGCAACATAGGGAGACCCTGTCTCTACAAAAAAATTAAAAAAAAAAAAAAAAAAAAGACAACGTGGATGCTTTGGGCCCTGGAGTGAATATATTTTAGTTCCTTCCCAAGGGTCATGCAACAGATGCGGTAGGTGAGTGAAACTGAAATTAAAAATTGCTTGTATTCTCAAGGCTAAATAAGACTAGGGAAAAAAGTTGCTTTTATAAATGGTCTTAATACAAGGTGTGGGTGAGTGAGTCTGTCTGTGTTTTCAGGGTAATAGAAGAAGCATTTTAAGAACACAGATTGGCCGGGTGCGGTGGCTCATGCCTGTAATCCCAGCACTTTAGGAGGTTGAGGAGGGCAGATCATGAAGTCAGGAGTTCGAGACAAGCCTGGCCAACATGGTGAAACCCTGTCTGTACTAAAAATACAAAAATTAGCTGGGCGTGGTGGCATGCGCCTGTAATCCCAGCTACTCCGGAGGCGGAGGCAGGAGAGTCACTTAAACCCGGGAGGCAGAGGTTGCTGTGAGCTGAAATTGTACCACTGCACTCCAGCCTTGGCAACAAGAGTGAAACTCCATCTCGGAGGAAAAAAAAAAAAAAAAAAGCACAGATGAGGCAGTACTTCATTGTGGGTTATTGTGAGTGCATTTTATCGGTGCAGACATGTAGCTGTGATTTGGGGAGGCCTGGCATTCTCAGCCTTCACAGAGCTGTTCGGTTTTTCACTTGTAGCTAACTTTCCATTTCTTTCTTTTCTGTTTTCTTTTCCAGGCTGAAAAGTCTTCCGCTAAGAAGGCAGTAATTGAATGCTGCACTGGCTCGTCCTGGAATCATTTCTCCTCCATGATGGAAGCCCAGTGACTGTTCGGTTAACACATTGTACAGAGTGTATTTATATGTAAATTCCTGCTGTAAAATAATTTTTAAAACCTTGACGTTTCAAAGACTGCCTTGAAAGGTCGCAGAAATTGATTTCTATTTTTAATTTCAGTTAGTGTCAGGGGAAAAAAATCCAGACTGAACAGTTTAATGAAGGTGGAATTTTTCTATTTTCTTCGTGATTTTTAAAAAATTTCCTGGGATGTTAAAAAAGAAGTTAAAAGTGAAGGCTTCTCTCTGGTTTTGTGATGAAGACAGTCTGGACTCACTGAAGGACAAGTGTGTGAGAGGGGGCGGTTGTGCCCCCTCGTGCCGTTTCTTGGGAGTGAAGCTCTTCCCTCTTTGGGTGACTGGGTTGCTGCTGGTTCAACCCGGGAAGCCCCATGGGAGGGCAGAGCCAGGGCCTGGCAGGGGGCCTCATCCTCTCAGGGTAGATGTCACTAAAGTGTCTGAGACAGGCAGGGAAACCAGGTGGGAGAATGTACACCCACAGCCTGGGTTGCATGGCTGCAGCTCCCTGCTCTGAGGCCATTTCATGTGCACCAAGGAGACCTTTTCCAAAAATAAAGTGCAGACCAGGTGTGGTGGCTCATGCCTGTAATCCCAGAGCTTTGGGAGGCCGAGGCAGGAGGATGGCTTGAGCCCAGGAATTCCAGACCAGCCTGGGCCACATAGAGACCCTTGTCTCCACAAAAAATAAAGTACTGAGCATTTGTGTTTTACATTATGAAAGTGGCATCCTAGATCACAACAATTTTAAAAGCAGAAAGAAGGAAGAGGCTGGGTGTGGTGGCCCATGCTTGTAATCCCAGTGCTTTGGGAGGCCAAGGCCAGAGGATCACTTGACACCAGGAGTTCAAAAACAGCCTGGCCAGCATGGTGAAACCTTGTCTCTACCAAAAATACAAAAAAAAAAAAAAAAAAAAAAATTAGCCAGATCTGGGGAGCATATGCCTGTGATCCCAGCTGTGTGGGAGGCTGAGGCACAAGAATCCCTTGAACCCTGGAGGTGGAGGTTGCAGTGAGCTGAAATTGCACCACTGCACTCCAGCCTGGGTGACACAGAGACTCTTATCTACACACACACACACACAAACACACACACACACACACGAAGAAAATCACTTTTAGTTTTATCATCCAAAGATGACAACCTTCAGTATTTTGAATCACTCCACCCTGTCCTTTTCCAGCTACGGGGCTGTTATCTGACTGGTGGTAGCATTTTATTCCGTTACTGTTGTTGGGGTTGTGACAGATACTTCCCTCATGCTATTACAAATGTTGCAAACTGCCGGGCACGGTGGCTCAAGCCTGTAATCCCAGCACTTTGGGAGGCCGAGACGGGCGGATCACGAGGTCAGGAGATCGAGGCCATCCTGGCTAACACGGTGAAACCCCGTCTCTACTAAAAAATACAAAAAAACTAGCCGGGCGAGGTGGCAGGCGCCTGTAGTCCCAGTTACTCGGGAGGCTGAGGCAGGAGAATGGCGTAAACCCGGGAGGCGGAGCTTGCAGTGAACCGAGATCCGGCCACCGCACTCCAGCCTGGGCGACAGAGCCAGACTCCGTCTCAAAAAAAAAAAAAAAATGTTGCAAACCTGCCCCTAATAACTATCTTATTTCGTGCAGGGGCTACCCCATAACCTATTGACCTTTTCTGTTTTGACCTGAAGTGGGCTGGCCAGGAGCTGTACCCAGGCAGAGGACATGAAGAAATTGCCCTGTGACAGGGAGCCAGGGAAACCACAGGGGAGGGCTGGAGGCTGGGGCACTGGTTTTGCTGGCTTGGCCTGGTTCCCAGAATGCAAAGCCCATTTTTCTTTGTTTTGCAACCTCCGCCTCCTGGGTTCAAGCCATTCTCCTCCCTCAGCCTTCCATGTAGCTGGAACTACAGGCGCACGCCCCCGTGTCCGGCTAATTTTTGTATTTATTTTATTTTTTTTAGTAGAGACGGGGTTTCACTAAACCCTGCCAGGCTGGTCTCAAACTCCTGACCTCAGGTGATCCGCCCGCCTCAGCCTCCCAAAGTGCCGGGATTATGGGCATGAGTCACCGCGCCCAGCTGCAAAGCGCATTTTTCTATGGGTAACTGTGCTGCGCGGGGTGGTACCATTTTTCACCCAGCGGGTGAGGAGGCAGCGAAGTTGCGGGCCCAGCGTAGCGCGCGCCTCCAAAGTGCTTGGTGCGGGCGCGGGCGCGCGGCGCCACCGTTCCCATCCAGGCTTGCGGGCGGCCACCGGCGGGCAGGGCTTCGAGATGGCCTCGCCGCGGCGGTGCTCCCCGACAGCCCCGGACAGGGAATGCAAGTTGCCGCCACCCTCGGCCCCTGCCGGCGAGTATCCCCCTGGCAAGCTGTCCTGGGGAACCCTGGCGAGGGCCTTAGGCCGCTTCACGCTGTCGATCCCGCACACGCGCCTGCTGGCCACCCTCGACCCTCTGGCCTTGGACAGGGAACCACCGCCGCAGCTGTCGCCTGAGAAGCAGCAGATGCCGGAGAAATTGATTTGGGGCGACCAGGAGCCTCTCTCCAAGGTCAGAACCGCCGCGGGGGACAGTGGCCTGTTCCCCACACGTGAGGAAGGCGCTCGGGCTGTCGAGGGAACCCATGGAAAACCCACCTGGCTTCACCAGGGCCTCCAGAGAGTCCCTAGGCCCATTCCCCCATCTGTGGTACATCAGAGGGAAAAGGTCAGACTGCCAAGCAGGGCCTGCTGGAGATGCTGGCGGGGGCTCCCCGCACTGCCACCTGCTGGAGAACCAGGCAGGACTCTTGGCTGGGAAGAGGCTCTGCGCCTCCATGTGCACCCTGACCCCACCTAGACCTTACAGTCTCCGTAGGACCATCCACAGTGATGCTCCTAATTGCAGCCCAAGGGTGGGTGGCTCAGCTCTCCCCCTCCAGGAGATAGAGTTAGCGTCAGAAGAAACGGGAAACTCAGAATAATAATTAATAATAACAACAATGAATTGGGCCAGGCAAAGTGACTCACAACTGTAATCCCAGCCCTTTGGGAGGCCCAGGTGGGAGGATCACTTGAGCCCAGGAGTTTGAGACCAGCCTGGGCAACATAGTGAGAGGTCATCTCTACAAAAAATAAACTTAGCTCAGTGTGATGGGGCGTACTTGTGTTCCCAGCGGCTTGAAAGGCTGAAGCAGGAGGATCCCTTGAACCCAGGAGTTTAAGGCTGCAGTGAGCTATAATTGCATCACTGCTCTCCAGCCTGGGCAACAGAGTGAGACTCTGTCTCCAGAATAAATATATATATATGCTGAATATATATATTTATAATATGTAATATATAAATATATATATTTATATATATATAATCTATTTATGTGTGTGTGTATATATATATATAGAGAGAGAGATAAAAACTGGCTGGGTGCAGTGGCTCATGCCTGTAATCCCAGCACTTTGGGAAGCCGAGATGAGCAGATCACTTGAGGTCAGGGGTTTGAGACCAGCCTGGCCAACATGGTGAAACCCTTTCTCTACTAAAAATGCAAAAATTAGCTGGGCGTGGTGGTGTGTGCCTGTAATCCCAGCTACTGAGGAGGCCGCGGCGGGAGGATCACTTGAACCCGGGAGGCAGAGGTTGCAGTGAGCCAAGATCATCTCACTCCGTCTCAAAAACAACAAAACAAAAACCCAATAAAGAACATTCTCAGTAAGTAGCGTTTCACGCTTGGCCTTGATTTAATGCACTCACATGCAGATGTCAGAGTGTGTTTTTAGTAATTTCCTCGAAATCTCTGCCTGGCTTCCCAGCGTGTTTAAGATGAAGTCTGGTGATCTGCCTGTGGCCTTCCAGGCCATTTCAAATCTGGCACCTCTCCATGTTCTCCTCCCCGGTCCCCCTGTCTTGCTGACCTACAAGCGGATCTGGCCTCAGGGCTCTTGGCGGGTCCCTGCCTCCACGGTATTGCACTCTTGAGGAGGCCCTCCCTGACTGCCCGTCTAAAGTAGCCGGGGCCACTGTCTCCTCTGTGCCTCTTGCCATGGCCTGACATCCCCGTTTTGTCCTCAAGGTGTCATCTGGCTGCCAGCAACTGACACCTCAAAGGTGGAGACTTTGCTCCTAGGTGGCTGCTGAGCTGCAGCATCAGGTCCAGGCCCCATGGGGGAGGAGGCTCTCTAGGTTTATCTGTGGAATACGTGAATGAATGCTACACATAGAAGAACCGTTTTGTTTTAGCCCAAATTCTCTGTCCTCTGCATGAGCTTTGTCAGCACCTCTGAAATGTACTTATGTGTTGGGGACTTCTCTCTGCAACCCCTGGGACCCCTTTACCTAGTGGATCCCAAGGGACTGTGTGCAGAAAAAAACCTGAAAGGAGGGCCCCAGAAAAGCCTGTGGTGGGGGTAGTGGAATGGTTTCTCCCTCTTGCTGATGTTTTCCCAGGATGGAGTTCTAGGGGTGTGTGTGTGTGTGTGTTTTCCTATTTTTAAAATTAAATTATATATTTTTAAAATTATTATTTAATTTTAATTTTGATTATTTATTTATTTACTTACTTATTTTTATTTTTATTTTTTATTTTTTTGTAGAAAGGGAGGTCTTCCTATGTTGCCCAGGCTGGTCTTAAACTCCTGGCCTCAAGCAATCCTCCTCCTCGGCCTCCCAAAGCGTTGGAATCGCATGCGTGAGCCATTGCACCCAGCAAATTTAATTTCAATTTTTAATGATAGTTCGGTTTTCCTAATGAGAGAGATAACCCAAACCCTGCAGGAGCGGCGGGGGCTGGGGTCGCCAGGGGCGGGGGCGGTGCGGGAGGGCTGCGCAGGTCAAGTCCCGTCCCGGGGACTGGGGCCGCTCCTGGGGTAGGGAGCCGTTCCTGCACGCGCGGCCCCGGACCGCCCGGGGTTAGCGAACTCTACCGGAGAAAAGCCCAGTCCCAGCTTTCCTCGCTCCCTGGCAACGGAGCCCGTGTTCCCGCGCCCTGGAGGCCCGAGCCCACGTTCCAGTGTCCCTGTGTCCCCGAGTCCCCGAGAAGCGGGGTATCTTCTCATCCCCTCCATCCCCACCTGCGCTTCCCGAACACCCCGCACATCACCTGCAACCCGAGGGCCACCGCCGCCCTCAACCGTCGCATCCCCTCACCCCTGCCCTCCTGGCGACTCAGCCCAGCAGCCTGACACTGCCTTCCAGGCCACACCCCTCGTCTTGCTTCCAATGTTTCCCCCACCCCTACACTTCCACAACTCAACCTGGGACGTGTCGCCATGGGCGGGCCGGGGGGAACACTTCAGGCTTCCGTGCTCTGTCCTCTTTTTTTCTTCCAGTTTTACTGAGATATAATTCACATGCCATATAATTTAACCATAGAAGCTGAAGTGGTTTCTAGGGTATTCACAGAGTACTGTACTCCCCAGTTCCCCAATACCCATCCTGCCCAGACCAGGCAATTCTACTTTCTGTCCATAGATTTGTCTATTCTAGACCTTTTATAGTGATAGAATCAAGCCATATGTGGTCTCTTGTGACTGACTTCGTTTCCTTAGCATAACGTCCTCAAGGTTCATCCATGTTGTAGCCTGTAGCAGTGCTTCCTTCCCTTTTCATTACCAAGTAATATTCTGTTGCATGGCCATGACACATTTTTTTTTTTTGGAGACAGTCTTGTTCTGTTGCCCAGACTGGAGTGCAGTGGCGTGATCTCGGCTAACTGCAGCCTCTGCCTCCTAGGTTCAAGCGATTCTCCTGCCTCAGTCCCCCAGTAGCTGGGATTACAGGCACATGCCACCATGCCCGGCTAATTTTTGTACCTTTAGTAGAGACGGGGTTTCACCACATTGGCCAGGCTGGTCTCAAACACCTGACCTCAGGTGATCCACCTACCTCGGCCTCCCAAAGTGCTGGGATTACAGGCATGAGCCACCGCGCCCGGCCACACTGTGGTTTTCATTTGCACTTTACTGATGTGGTGAGTGATGTTGAGAATCTTTTCATGTGCTATCAACTATTTGCATATATATATATATTTTTGTTTGTTTGTTTTTGTTTTTTTTGTTTTGTTTTTTCTTTTTGAGATAGGTCTCCCTCTATCGCCCAGGCTGGAGTGCAGTGACATGATCATAGCTCATTGTAACCTCTGCCTCCCGGGTTCAAGCAATTCTCATGCCTCAGCCTCCTAAATAGTTGGGATTACAGGAGCACACCACCACAGCGGGCTACTTTTTTTTTTTTTTAGTAGAGATGGGGTTTTGCCATGTTGGCCAGGCTGGTCTTGAACTCGTGGCCTCAAGTGATCCATCTGCCTCAACCTCCCAAAGTGCTGAGATTATAGTTGTGAGCCACCGCACCCAGCCCTCGCATATCTTCTTTGGAGATACATCTATTCAAATCCTTTGCCCATATAAAATTTTAATTTTAATTATTTAAAGGTAGGGTCTTGCTCTGTCACCCAGGCTGGAGTGCAGTGATGCAATCATAGCTCACTGTAACCTCAACCTTCTGGGCTCAAGTAGTCCTCCTGCCTCAGCCTCCTAAGTGGCTGGGACTACAAGTATGCGCCACCATGCCTGGCTCATTTTCTTTTCTTTTTTTCCAATTTTGTACAGACAGTCTCACTATGTTGCCCAGACTAGTCTTGAACTCCCAGGCTCAAGCAATCCTCCTGCCCCAGCCTCCCAGAGTGCTGGGATTATAGGGATGAGCCACTATGCCCAGGCAGAATTTTTTTTTTTTTTTTTCAGATGGAAAAAAATTTTCAGATGGATTGCAGTGGTGCAATCTTGGCTTACTGCAACCTCCGCCTCCTGTGTTCAAGCGATTCTCCTGCCTCAGCCTCCCAGGTAGCTGGGATTACAGGCACCCACCAACACGCCCAGCTAATTTTTGTATTTTTAGTAGAGATGGTGTTTTGCCATGTTGGCCAGGCTGGTCTCAGGTGATCTGCCCGCCTTGGCCTCCCAAAGTGCTGGGATTACAGATGTGAGCCACCCTGCTTTGGCCAGAATTTTTTAAATTCATTTTTTTCCAGGTGGTTTATTGCAAGTGTTTAGAAATAAAATTAACTGTTGTACATTGATCTTGTGTCCTGCAATATGTTTAACTGATCTGGTCTCTCCTTTTTTCAGATCCCATTTAAAATTCTGAGTGGGCACAAGCACGCTGTGAGCACCTGTCACTTCTGTGTGGATGACACAAAGCTCCTCAGCGGCTCCCATGACTGCACGGTGAAGCTGTGGGTAGGTGGCCCACTGACAGGTGCTCCCGGAGCGAAAACCTTTCGTAAGCTTAGGCACTCCCGTGTCCAGTTCCCCAGCACTAAACTCGCAGGCACTTGTGGGTCCTGGTTTGCAGGTCTTCTGAGCAAAGTGCCAGAAGGAGGGGAAGGTGAGAGCCCAGCCTGGATGAAGTTAGGGTGGCTGCTGCCAGCTTGTGGGCCTGGAAACAGTGGGAATGGGATGGAGACCTCTGGACTGAGAGTGCCACACTTTTTTTTTTTTTTTTTGAGACGGGGTTTTGATCTTGTTGCCCAGGCTGGAGTGCATTGGTATGATCTCGGCTCACTGCAACCTCCGCCTACTGGGTTCAAGCCATTCTCCTGCCTCAGCCTCCCAAGTAGCTGGGATTACAGGCATGTGCCACCACACCCAGCTAATTTTTTTTTTTTAGTAGAGATCGAGTTTCACCATGTTGATCAGGCTGGTCTTGAACTCCTGACCTCAGGTGATCCACCCACCTCAGCCTCCCAAAGTACTGGGATTACAGGCGTGAGCCACGGCACTTGGCCTGTTTTTTTTTTTTTTTTTTTTTTGAGACTGAGTTTCGTTCTTGTCGCCCAGGCTGGAGTGTCATGGCGTGATCTCAGTTCACTGCAACCTCCGCCTCCTGGGTTCAAGTGATTGTCCTGCCTCAGCCTCCTGAGTAGCTAGGACTACAGGTGTGTGCCACTACTTCTGGCTAATTTTATATTTTTAGTAGAGACAGAGTTTAACCATGTTAGCCAGGCTGGTCTTGAAATCCTGACTTCAGATGATCCACCTACCTCAGCCTCCCAAAGTGCAGGGATGACAGGTGTGAGCCACCATGCCTGGCCCCCACAACTTTTATTCTTTTTCTTTTTTCTTTTTCTTTTCTTTTTTTTTTTTTTTTTTTTTTGAGACAGAGTCTTGCTCTGTTGCCCAGGCTGGAGTATAGTGGTGCAGTCTCGGTTCACTACAATTTTTGCCTCCGGGTTCAAGTGATTCTCCTGCCTCAGCCTCCCTACTAGCTGGGAATACAGAGGCATGCCACCATGCCCAGCTAATTTTTTTTTTCTTTTTTTTCTTTTTTTTTTTTTTTTAGTAGAGACAGGGTTTCACTATATTGGCCAAGATGGTCTCAAACTCCTGGCCTTAAGTGATCTGCCTGCTTCGGCCTTCCAAATTGTTGGGATTACAGGCGTGAGCCATGGCGCCCGGCCACCCCACACACCTGTCAGAGAACGGAAGTCCTGGCTGTGTTTGGGGCCTAGGATGTCATCTCTCTGAGTCTCCTTCTCATCTGGAAAACTGAGTTCCATCCACAGAGACTGGATGGCCAGGTCTATGTGGTCACAGAGGACAGAAAGGTGTCCAGGCCTGGGACCTGTTCATGAGGGGTGGTTGGAAGATGTAGGCCTGGGTTCAGATCAGCACCCCAAGGTGTGGAGGCAGGGGCACCGGGGATGGGGCTGTGATGTTCACATGAGGTTGGCAGAGGTGGCTCCTGGAGCCCTTCTGGGGACTACAGGGCATGGGCAGCAGGCCCGGGCAGTGCAGGTCACTCAGGAGGGCTGGGGAGGAGCAGGGCTGGGGGAAGGCAGTGGCCATGGGGCCAGGCCACAGAAGGCTGTGTGGCTGGCTGGGGCTCACGGGAGAGGACGCTCCGTTCTGAGTTTTGCAGCATCTGGCTTCAGGGACAGGAGTGGAGGGAGTTGCGGCTGGTTCCTGGGTTCTGGTTTGGGTAACGGGAAAGAGGATAGCCCCTCACCCTACAGACGACCTCAGGAGAGTGTTTTCCGTGGTATTTCCTGCTAGGGGGACAGATACTCACACGGAGATCCAAAATAAAGACATCAGTTGAGTGGTTCTTAGGGCGTTACAGGCAAAAGGATTTAAGGGTTTGGAACAGAGGATTTTTTTGAGACATTATCAGTCAATCCCCACTGTTGTCTTTTTTTTTTTTTTTAATGAATTTAAGACCATCGGCCTATATCGTCATACTTGTTCTTTTGTGAAATGGAAATGGGAGAAAATATGTATACGCACACACACACACACACACATACACACACACACACACATATATACACACACATACACACATACATACACACACACATACACACACACAGCCACAAGGTACAATCTGTGCCAAGGCCATGCCAACTGGGCAGGAGGGTTTGTGGTGGACCCCACGTTTAGGACTTACCAGCTGTGTGACCCCAGCAGGTTGCATGACCTCCTGGGCCTCCTTGGGTCTGCCCGTGCTGCACAGGACCAGTTGTGTGAAGGGGCTGCCCCGGGGCTCAACTCACCTCCACTCCTGCCCTCTGTAGCTGTCCTTATGGACACCTGGCCCACAGAGCCCAGAGCCTCAAGATCTTGTTAGAAAAACTACTGATTTCTCTGGGAGCCTCACCCTCACACCCCACAGGATGACACTAGAGGCATTTTTTGTTTGTTTTGTTTTAGAGACAGAGTCTTTCTCTGTCACCCAGGCTGGAGTGCAGTGGTGCAATTATGGCTCACTGCAGCCTCAACCTCCTGGACTCAAGCAATCCTCCCATCTCAACACCCCGAGTAGCTGGGACTGCAGGAGTGCACCACCACACCTAGCTAATTTTTTATATTTATATTGTAGAGATGGGGGTCTTGCTACATTGCCCAGGCTAGTCTCCAACTCTTGCCCTCAAGCAATCCTCCTGCCTCAGCCTCCCAAAGTGCTGGAATTTCAGGCATGGGCCATCAAGGTCCCAGTTTCATAGATGTATGCGGACTTGTGTGGACAAGAAAAAAAAGATACATGCTGGCTGGGCGCAGTGGCTCACGCCTGTAATCCCAGCACTTTGGGAGGCCGAGGTAAGCGAATCACCTGAGGTCAGGAGTTCAAGACCAGCCTGACCAATGTGGTGAAACCCCGTCTCTACTAAAAATAGCCGGGTGTGGTGGCGGGTGCCTGTAGTCCCAGCTACTCTGGAGGCTGAGACAGGAGAATTGCTTGAACCTGGGAGGCAGAGGTTGCAGTGACCCAAGGTTGCACCACTGCACTCCAACCTGGGAGACAGAGAGAGACCCCATCTCAAAAAAAAAAAAAAAAAAAAAAGACAAACATGCCAACACAGTCACAGCTGTTAGCTCTGGGGTCATGGAAGGACGAATGTTTTTCTTTCTTGTGTTTTCATGTGTTTCCTGTAATAAAATCATATTACCTTTGTAATAATATGAGAAAAACTACCAAACTTGCATTTTTTTTTTCTTTTTTTGAGACAGGGTATTGCTCTATCACCCAGGCTGGAGTGCAGTGGCAAGAACACAGCTCACTACACCTTTTACCTCCTTTGCTAAAGGCATCCTCCCATGTCAGCCTCCCAAGTCGCTGGGACCACAGGCACACACCACCATGCCTGACTAATTTTTTTGTTTTTGGTAGAGACAGGGTCTTACTACATTGCCCAGGCTGGTCTCAAACTCCTTGGTTCAAGCGACCCTCCTGCCTCAGCCTCCAAAAGTGCTGGGATTACAGGTGTGGGAGCACTTTTTTTTTTTTTTTTTTTTTTTTTTTTTTGACGTAGGATCTCAGTCTGTTGCCCAGGCTGAAGTGCAGTGGTGCAATTATGGCTCACTGCAGCCTCGACCTCCTGGGCTCAAGTGATCCTCCCACCTCAGCCTCCTGAGTGTCTGGGACCACAGGCATGGGCTGCCATGCCCGGCTAATATTATCATTTTTTATATAGAGGGGATCTCCCTCTGTTGCCTGGGCTGGTCTTGAGCTCCTGGCCTCAAGCCATCCTTCCTCCTTGGCCTCCCAAAACACTGGGATACAGCATGAGCTACCACAACCCAGCCCCAAACTTATTTTTAAATGACCAGAAAAGAGGTGGCAATATATTAGAGGGAGATGGGACATAGGATTAAGAATATTTTCCCCAGCTTCTCTGTACATTTATGGACTTTCCAAGTTATTCACAGTAATCTCCAATTAGGAAAAAAGGGTTTTTATTGTTTTTGTTTTTGTTTGAGACAGCGTTTTGCTCTTGTGGCCCAGGCTGGAGTGCAATGGCATGGTCTCGGCTCACTACAACCTCCGCCTCCTTCCTGAGTTCAAGCGCTTCTCCTGCCTCAGCCTCCCAAGTAGCTGGGATTACAGGTACCCACCACCACGCCCGGCTAATTTTTGTATTTTTAGTAGAGATGGGGTTTCACCATGTTGGCCAGGCTTGTCTCAAACTCCTGACCTCAGGTGATCTGCCTGCCTTGGCCTCCCAAAGCGCTGGGATTACAAGCGTGAGCCACCGCACCTAGAGGAAAACGGGCTTTTAAAAGATTTAAAGGTATTTGGATTTGAGGTGTTGCTGGGGGCAGGGACTGGAAACGGGGTCAGTGGATGAGGCAGAGAGGGGAGGCCAGCGGAGATTTTGGCCAAGATACTGTGACAAGAGGAGGTGACTGTATAGGGTTATGGGTTCACCCCCTACGGAGGGACATGGAGCACATGGTGGGAGCCACAACTGAGAGTCTCAAGGAGCCAGCAGGAGGGGACGAAGATGGGAGGAGAGAGCCAGGGGAGGAGTCAGGTTCCTGGAGTGGCAGTCAATGGGACCAGCAAAGGTAGGGGCTCAGAGGAGAGGTGGCGATTTATGGGACAAGGGGCGAAGGCGCTAGGAGGGCAGAGGGAGGGAGCACAGGGATGGGGGCTGCCTGGAGAAGGTGGTGGGGGGAGGAGGACTGGGAGTGGTCCATGGTGTGGGTGGGGAGCACTTGGATGTGCTTCCTGGGACGTGGAGAAGGACGGCTTATGGGAAGGAGGGCATACGAGGTGGCAGAGGTGGCAGTGCCTGCATTGTGGATGCGGCATGGAACGGGCAGGGAACAAGAACAAGGAGGCTGCTGTGGGGACCGAGGGTCTCTCCAAGATTAGGGTCTCTAATCTTGGGACAACAACCAAGGTGAAAACAGGCATCTTTCCCTTCATGGAGAAAAGAGCCCTTTGGCCAACACAGACAGCAGCCCCGGGGGGCCTTTTGCCAACTCAAAAGGGGAAACAAGGGCCAGGTGTAGTGGCTCATGCCTGTAATCCCAGCACTTTGGGAGGCCCAGGCGGGTGGATCACAAGGTCAGTAGTTCGAGACCAGCATGGCTGACATGATGAAACCCCTTCTGTACTAAAAATCCAAAAAAAAAAAAAAAAAAAAAAAGGTGGGGTGGTGGTGGGAGGGGGAATAATGTGGGGGAATTGGAAGATACAAGGTGGACCGTACAGGTGGTAAGTTACCATCCTATCCCCTGGGCAATGACAAGGGGAGAGGCTCCCTTGCCCCTGGGCCTCTCAGTCACCCCAGAGGATTAAGAAAGGGTTTAAGGCTCCTAGAAAGCTGAGTGCAATGGCCCACGTCTGTAATCCCAGCGCTTTGGAAGGCTGAGGCGAGAGGGTTGCTTGAGGCCAAGAGTTTGAGACCAGCCTGGGCAATGTAGCAAGACCCTCATCTCTACAAAATAAAAAATAAAAAATTAGCCAGGCATGGTGGTGCACTTCTGTAGTCCCAGCTACTCGGGAAGTTGAGAAGGGAGGATTGCTTGAACCCAGGAGGTGGTGCCTGCAGTGAGCCATAAGTGCAACTCTGCACTGTGAAGCCTGGGTAACAGAGTGAGATCCAGTGTCAAAAACAAAACAACAAAACAAAACAAAAAAAATGCTGATCACAGTGACTCATGCCTGTAATCGCAGCACTTTTGGAGGTTGAGGCAAGAGGATCGCTTGAGCCAAGGAGTTTGAGACCAGCCTGGGCAATATAGTGAGACCTTGTTTCTACCAAAACCAAAAAATTAGCCAGGTGCGGTGGCGTGTGCCTGTGGTCCTAGTGATTTGGGAGGCTGAGATGGGAGGATGGCTTTGGCCCAGGAGGCCAAGGGGTGCAGTGAACCGTGTTCTTGCCACTGCACTCCAGCCTGGGTGATAGAGCAAGACCCTGTCTCAAAAAAAAAAAAAAAGTTTGGTAGTTTTTCTCATATTATTACAAAGGTAATATGATTTTATTACAGGAAAGACATGAAAACACAAGAAAGAAAAAACTCATCTTTCCATTGACCCCAGAGTTAACGGCTGTGAAAATGTTGGCATAGGTATTTTTTTCCTGTCCACGCACGTCCGCATACATTTATGAAATTGGGACTGTACCGAAATACTGAATATGTACTCACCATAAACTTAGACGCCAAATATTGTCACATCTCCTTCATTTTCCAACTATTTATTAGACCCCCTTTCCCTCATTCATTTGAAGTCTAACCAGTATTTGCCTTTTAAATTGTCTGGGTCCACAGGGGTGGGGTCCTGCTTCCAAATGCCCAGTGTGGAGGGAGTGGGCCAAACTGTGCACAGTCACTGTTCCTGCTCTTGGCCACGTGGTGTCACTGTTGAGTCTAAAGCTGCACAGCCCCACGGACCCTGATCCATTCTGGCGCTGCCCTGAGCTGGCCGCAGCCGGCCCAGAGTGCGTGCATGGGCCTTGATCCCACACCCCAAGACGATCGTTTTCTTTTCTTTTCTTTTTTTTTTTTTTTGAGACGGAGTCTCGCTCTGTTGCCCAGGCCGGAATGAAGTGGCACGATCTTAGCTCACTGAAACCTCTGTCTTCTGGGTTTAGGCGATTCTCCTGCCTCAGCCTCACCAGTAACTGGGACTACAAGTGCGTGCCACCACACCCAGCTAATTTTTGCATTTTTAGTAGAGATGGGGTTTCACCATGTTGGCCAGGCTGGTCTCGAACTCCTGATCTCAAGTGATCCACCCACCTCGGCCTCCCAAAGTGCTGGGATTACAGGCATGAGCCACCGCGCCCGGCCCGGAAGACATTGCTAGATTCTGCAAAGCCTTTTTGGCCGGTAGGAAAGGAAAACACCATCCGTTTGCAGCTTTGCCCCCAGCACGGCCAGTTTCCACCTGGTGTCTGTGGAATTGTGGGGTAATTTCCCATGGATGCCAAGAATGGCAAGGGTGTCCTTCCCGCTCAGGGGACATGTTGCAGAGTCCTTTCCTCTTTCGGAGCTGAGTGAGAGTCCCAGGACCGTGGAGTTCTCAGATTTTGCTACCAGAGATAAGCTAAGGGCTAATGTTGACCTCGATTTATGACTTCAGCAAACATGGCAGTGACCACTCTCTTCTCCTCTCTCCCCCATTGATTTGAGGATGCGGTGGATGGTTCTGTGGTTCGCGATTTTGAGCACAGGCCCAAGGCTCCTGTTGTAGAGTGCAGCATCACAGCCGACAGCAGCAGGTGATCTTTGCCTCATCTTACACTGGGAAGAGGGAGGGCGAGCAGGCAGGCCATAGATAGGCATGCCTGTGACACTTTTGTTTTTGTTTTAAGTAATAGACATGGCGTCTTACCATGTGGCCTAAGCTGGTCTCAAACCTGTGGCCTCAAGCGATTCTCCTCCTGCATTGGCCTCCCAAAGTGTTAGCATTACAGGTATGAGCCACCACACCTGGCCTTTTTTAATTTTAATTTTTTATTTAGACAGGATTCTGCTATGTTGCCCAGGCTGGAGTGCAGTGATGCAAACATGGTTCACTGCAGCCATGGACTCCTGGGCTCAGTGATCCTCTTGCTTCAGCCTCCTGAGTAGCTGGGATTACAGGTGTGCACCACCACACCTGGCTAATTTTTGTATTTTCGTAGAGTTGGGTTTTGCCATGTTGCCCAGGCTGGTCTCAAACTCCTAGGCTCAAACAATCCTGCCTTGGCGTCTCAAAGTGCTGGGATTACAGGTGTGAGCCACTGTGCTCGGCCTGCTTTGGTTTTGAGATAGGGTCTTGCTTTGTCACCCAGGCTGTAGTGTGGTGGTGCAATCACAGCTCACTGCAGCCTCCAACTCCAGGGCTCAAACAATCCTGTCTTGGCATCCCAAATACAGTGACTGTAGGCATAAGCCACCACCCCCACTAGGAATTTGTTTTAAAATGGACTTACTTTAACCCTGAACAGCAGCTATAAAACAGCAGAAAACTGGTGTGAAAATGTAAGTTTCATGGGAATTTATCTTTTTTTTTTTTTTTTTTTTTTTGAGATGGAGTCCTGCTCTGTTGCCCAGGCTGGAGTACAGTGGTGCGATCTTGGCTCACTGCAACCTCCAACTCCCGGGTTCGAGTGATTCTCCTGCCTCAGCTTCCTGAGTACCTGGGACTACAGGTGCACACCACCACACCTGGCTAATTTTTGTATTTTTAGTAGAGAGGGGTTTCACCATATTGGTCAGGCTGTTCTCGAATTCTTGACCTCAGGTGATCCACCCACCTCGGCCTCCCAAAGTGCTGGGATTACAGGCGTGAGTCACCATGCCCACATGGGAATTTATCTTATGTAGAGGACAAACTTTGCCACAGAAACATGCCATGTAAGAAGACAAGGATACATTTATGTTTTTTACAAGAAAACATTTCAGAACAAAATAAGTAGTCTCTTAAACTGTATTCCTGTGAAAAGACAGACAAGTGAGCAGAGAGGAAAGTGATTGATCCTTGTGGGTGCAGAGACCCCTTTAGAAGAGGAAAACAGCTGGGAGGCCGAGGCGGGCAGATCACCTGAGGTCGGGAGTTCAAGGCTAGCCTGACCAACATGGAGAAACCCTGTCTCTACTAAAAACACAAAATTAGCCGGGCATGGTGGCACATGCCTGTAATCCCAGCTACTCAGCAGGCTGAGGCAGGAGAATCGCTTGAACCTGGGAGGTGGAGTTTGTGGTGAGCCGAGGTCATGCCATTGCAACCCCGCCTGGGCGACAAGCAAAACTCCGTCTTAAAAAAAAAAAAAAAAAGGAAGAAGAAGAGGAAAATGGAAAAAATGATACTTTGAAAGCTCTTGATATAAAGGAGCATGTGTGGGTGGCTGAAGAGTATGGGGGATGATGGTACTGTGGTTCCTTGTGTATTAGGTTATATTTCCTTCCTTCCTTCTTTCCTTCCTTCCTTCCTTCTTTCCTTTTTTTTTGATGGAGCCTCTCCTGCCCACACTGGACTGCAGTGGTGTGATCTTGGCTCACTGTAACCTCCGCCTCCTGGTTCGAGATATTTTCATGCCTCAGCCTCCCGAGTAGCTGGGATTACAGGTGTGCACCACCACGCCTGGCTAATTTTTGTATTTTTAGTAGAGATGGGGTTTCACCATGTTGGCCAGGCTGGTCTTGAACTCCTGACCTCAGGTGTTCTGCCTGCCTCAGCCTCCCAAAATGTTGGGATTACAGGCGTGAGCCACCTTGCTTGGCTGGTTCTCTCTAGTTTCAATGAGAACCGAATGGTCCCTAGGGTGGGTGATGGAGCAGTCTTTTAAAGATGATTGTATTATTTATAATCTTGGTCCTAAATTAGAAAAATGAAAAAAGTCTTCATAGAAGTCACAGGCAGGCCAGGCATGGTGGCTCATTCTTATAATTCCAGTGCTTTGGGAGGCTGAGGTGGGAGGATCGCTTGAGGCCAGGAGAGACCAGCCTGGGCAACATAGTGAGATTCTGTCTCTTAAAAAAAAAAAAAAAAAAAAAAAAAGCCAGGCATGATGGTGAGTGCTCACAGTCCTAGCTACTCAGGAGGCTGAGGTAGGAGGATCACTTGAGCCCAGAAGTTCAAGGTGGCAGTGAGCTAGGATTGCCCCACTGGACTACAGCCTAGATGACAGGGTGACATCCTGTCTCAAAAAAGGAAAGGAAAGGAGGGGAGGGGAGGATAAAAGGACCACAGACCTAACTGTCTCTGTTGTTAAGAATCAATGTTTGGCCAGGCGCGGTGGCTCACGCCTATAATACTAGCACTTTGGGAGGCCGAGGCAGGTGGATCACTTGAGGTCAGGAGTGTGAGACCAGCCTGGCCAACATGGCAAAACCCTGTTTCTACTAAAAATACAAAAATTAGCTGGGCATGGTGGTGGGCGCCTGTAATCTCAGCTACTCGGGAGGCTGAGGCAGGAGGGTCGTTTGAACCTGGGAGGCGGAGGTTGCAGTGAGCCAGGATTGCACCACTGCACTGCACTCCAGCCTGGGCAACAGAAGGAGACCCTGTCTAAAAAAAAAAAAAAAAAAAAAAAAAGAAACAATGTTCATCATCTTATTTCCAGAGTCATTGCCGCATCCTACGATAAGACTGTGAGGGCCTGGGACCTGGAGACAGGCAAGCTGCTGGTACGTATGCCTGCCCAGTGGGCACGTTGCAGATTGACCAAGCCTCAGGCAGCTTTGGGTTGGACCCTGGGTAGGGGGAGGTGATAGAACTCCATTCTTCTAGGAAGGAAGCGTGTTCCTGGGGATGGAAGGTACAGATGTGAACTGCACCCCACAACAGCCATTGCTTGTAAAAAGTCTGGAGGGTGAGAGGGCGGGCACTGGAGGAGGAAGACTCCTGGAGGAGGCAGATGGAACCAAGGCTTCTGCTTGAAAGATGGGATGCATTTGGATACACAGAAAGAAGCCAGAATGGGGGGTGGGATGTGGGGGCTGGTATTCCGGGCTCCCCGGTAAGATGTTTGGATTTGATTAGGGAGGAAGTGGGGCTGAGGCCATGGGACAAAGGCCATGTGCCCCCAAGAACCAGGGTTCTGGCCCTTACCAGTCTGTTCTCTTTATATCTTGGAGGGGGCCGCTCTCCATCCATCCCACAGGGCCAAGACTCCCACTTGGCCCTGCACCCGCCCCAGGCAGCCTCAGCCCTGCTCAGGGGCCTCCTCGGGGTCTCCTGCCCCACCCCTGCGGTCCCTCCCGCTCAGCTCCTGCAGGCCTTTCCTCTCCCTTCCTCCTTCCTTTCCTTAAAAAAACAACCTTTCGGCCGGGCGCGGTGGCTCAAGCCTGTAATCCCAGCACTTTGGGAGGCCGAAACAAGCAGATCACGAGGTCAGGAGATCGAGACCATCCTGGCTAACACGGTGAAACCCTGTCTCTACTAAAATATACAAAAAAAAAAAAAAAAACCAAAACCCAAAAAACTAACTGGGTGAGGTGGCAGGTGCCTGTAGTCCCAGCTACTTGGGAGGCTGAGGCAGGAGAATGGTGTAAACCTGGGAGGCGGAGCTTGCAGTGAGCTGAGATCCGGCCACTGCACTCCAGCCTGGGCAACAGAAAAAAAAAAACAACCTTTCTTGTTAGTGCAAAGGTCAGTTTATATTCATTGTAAACATTTTTAGAAAGACAAGATAAGCCAAGTTTTTATTTTATGATGATGATGACGACGATTTTTAGAGACAGGGTCTTGCAAACTCTGTCACCCAGGCTGGAGTGCAGTGGTGCCATCGTAGTTCACTGCAGCTTCAAACTCAGATGATCCTCCCGCCACAACCTCCCAAGTAGCTGGGACTACAGGCGAGCACAACCACACCTGGCTAATGATTTACTTTTGTAGAGATCTTGCATGTTGCCCAGGCTGGTCTCAGGCTCCTGGTCTCAAGCGATCTTCCAGCACCGGGTTTACAGGTGCGACACACCGCACCTGGCTTAAAACAACCTTTTGACTGTTGGCTCATTTCAGTGGAAGGTCAGGTATGACACCTTCATCGTCTCCTGTAAGTTTTCTCCTGATGGTAAATACGTAGTCTCAGGCTTCGACGTGGATCATGGAATCTGCATAATGGACGCTGAGAACATCACCACTGTTTCCGTCATCAAAGGTGAGGGTGTGCGGCTCCCTGACTCTTTAATCTGCCATAGGAATAGCCACTTGTCACTGACTGACAGTGACCTTCCATTGCGTTATTTGGTGAAACCGTAATGGTATGAAGCACGTCATTAAAGCTGGGACACTAGGCTAGGTGCGGTGGCTGGGATTACACCTGTAATCCCAGCACTTTGAGAGGTTGCTTGAGCCCAGGAGTTTGAGACCAGCCTGGGTAACAGGGTGAAACCCTGTCCCTACCAAAAACAATACAAAAATTAGCCAGGTGTGATGGCATACACCTATAGTCCCAGCTGCTTGGGAGGCTGAAGTGGGAGGATCACTTGAGCCCAGAGGTGGACAATGTAATGAACTGAGATTGAGCCACTGGACTCTAGCCTGGGAGACAGAGTGAGACTCCATCTCAAACCAAAAAACACCCCAAAACTGATCCTCTTCAGTTAATGCTTTTCCATTCATTCAGTCTTGTGCTTTTAACAAACGACACAATGTTTGACTCCAACCTCATGTGGTCATTGAAGCCTAATCTTTTATTGAATGGAGGCTCAGCCTTCTTAATATTTTTACCTGTTTTTTTCTTTTTTTTTTCTTTTTGTAGAGACAGGGTCTCGCTACGTGGCCCAGGCTGATGTCAAACTCCTGGCCTCGAGTGGGCATGAGCCACTGCGCCCGGCCTAGTTTTAAAATATAGGAATAGTAGTAATTGTCATATGACAGTTACTACTATAGGGGCTGCTGGGTGAAGGATATGGCTGATCTCTCTGTTTTTCCTTACACCTCCATGTGAGTTTACAATTATCTTAAAATTAAAGTTAAAAAAATGTGTAATCATTGTAAAGACATTCATTATGCGCTGGGCGCAGTGGCTTACGCCTGTAATCCCAGCACTTTGGGAGGCCAAGGCGGGTGGATCACCTGAGCTCAAAAGTTCAAGACCAGCCTGGCCAACATGGTATAACCCCATCTCTACTAAAAATACAAAAATTAGCTGGGCATGGTGGCGGGTGCCTGTAATCCCAGCTACTCAGGAGGCTGAGGTTGAATTGTTGGAACCCAGGAGGCAGAGGTTGCAGTGAACTGAGATTGCACCACTGCGCTCCAGCCCAGGCAACAGAGCAAAACTCTGTCTCAAAAATAATAAAAAAAAATCATTCATTATGTAAAGAAAAAAGGAAAAGGCTGCTGTGTCTGTCCTGTCTCCTCCCCAGATTCACCTGTTATGAACCATACATTGCTGGGTGGCCTTCCTGAACCCTGTGTGTGTCCCTGTGCATACACATTTGCACACACAACACTGCTTCTCATGTGCTTCGTGTTTCTTTTTAACGATGTGGCACTATGCCATGTACACTGCCCCACAGCCTCACTAGTAGCCTCTAATAGCCCACCTGACACTATGCCCCCACCATGCTTCAGACTCCAGCTTTGCCCCACACTGCTCCGTGATCCAGCCCAGGCCTTTGCAAGCACTGTTCCTTCTTTCTAGAGTGCTCTTCCATTTCTGCTTCCCTCGTTGACTTTTCGGGCCCTTCCTGAACCCCTCAGGGTGGCCAGGCTTCTGTTGTCTGGGCCTTGGTGGCCGGTGCACTCATCTCATGACCCGTGGCATGTGGCAGGTCATTGCCTGCTCCGGGGTGTCTCCTCCATCAGACTGGGAGCTCTGTAGGGGCAGGGAACAGGCCAGGTGTGCTCCCGGTTCAAAGCCTGGGACATAGTAGTCACTCAGGAATGTTTGTGCAGGTGTGTAGCTCCTCATGAAAACTGGAATTGTGTTTTGTAATCTTGTCGCTAGCTGGGGAAGTCGTGGGAGTCCTCCAGCCCAGCATGTGGAAGGCGTGATCTCGAGTCCCTTTCTTCTGTGTTCTGCAGATCATCACACAAGGTCCATCACGTCATGCTGCTTTGACCCCGACAGCCAGAGGGTGGCTTCTGTCTCATTGGACAGGTGCATCAAGATCTGGGACGTTACATCCCAGGCCACGCTGCTCACCATCACCAAGTGAGTTGGACCCCAGGAGGTCAGAAGGGAGTTTGGGCAGGGCGTCCCCATTCATGCCCTCCTGGATTCCACACAAGCCAGCATCCATGTGGACACGTCTGTAGCTTGGTCATGGGTGCTCCGAGAAGGTTGGGGACAGGCAGGCGGGAGGGAGCCATCAGCTGCAGCCTGTGGGCTTGGCTGGGCCTCAGATGCATTTGTTTCAATGTGAGCCACTAGTAGAAACCATTGTGCAGAGAATCCCACAAAATGTGAAGTTCCAGCATCTCCTGTAAAATGGGAAGGTCTGGCTGGGCGTGGCTCATGGCTGTAATCCCAGAGCTTTGGGAGGCCAAAGTGGGAGGATCACTTCAGGCCAGGAGTTCAACACCAGCCTGGGCAATGTCATGAGACCTCATCTCTGCAAAAAATTTAAAAATTAGCTGGGTGTGGTGTCACACACCTGTAGTCCCAGCTACTCATGAGGCTGAGGCTGGAGGATTGCTTGAGCCCAGGAGTTTGAGGCTGCTGTGAGCTATGATTGCACCACTTCACCCCAGCCTGGACAATGAAGTAAGACCCTGTCTAAAAAAATAAATAGGCCGGGCGTGGTGGCTCACACCTGTAATCCCAGCACTTTGGGAGGCCTAGGTGGGAGGATCACGAGGTCAGCAGATCGAGACCCTCCTGGCTAACACGGTGAAAACCCATCTCTACTAAAAATATAAAAAATTAGCCGGGCGAGGTGGCGGGCACCTGTAGTCCCAGCTACTCAGGAGGCTCAGGCAGGAGAATGGTGTGAACCTGGAAATCGGAGGTTGCAGTGAGCCGAGATCGCACCACTGCACTCTAGCCTGGGTGACAGAGCGAGACTCTGTCTCAAAAAATAAAATAAATAAATAAATAAATAAATAAATAAATAAATAAAATGAATTAAGTCATTTTGGAGATACTACATTATCATTTAAAAAAATTTTGGGCCGGGTGCGGGGGCTTATGGCTGTAATCCCAGCACTTTGGGAGGCCGAGAGGGGTGGATCACCTGAGGTCAGGAGTTCGAGAGCAGCCTGGCCAACATGATGAAACCTTGTCTCTACTTAAAATACAAAATTTAGCTGGGCGTGGTGGCGGGTACCTGTAATCCCAGCTATTCAGGAGGCTGAGGCAGGAGAATCGCTTGAACCTAGGAGGAGGAGGTTGCAGTGAGCCAAGATTGTGCCACTGCACTCCAGCCTAGGTGACAGAGTGAGACTCTTGTCTCAAAAAAAAAAAAAAAAATATATATATATATATATATGCAACATAAAACATGACATTTTAACCATTTGTAAGTGTGCAATTCTCTGGCATTCATTATATTCACAGTGTTGTGCAACTATCACCACTATTTATTTCCAAAATGATTTCATCATCTCAGACAGAAGCTCTTACCCGTTAAGCAATAACTGCCCATTGCCCATGCCCCCAGCCCTGGGTAATGTTTATTCTACTTTCTGTCTCTATGAATTTGCCTATTCTAGATATTTCATATAAGTAGAATCATACATTATTTGTCCTCTTGTGATGGGGTTATTTCACTTAAACTAATGTCCTCAAGGTTCATCTGTGTTGTAGCCTGCATTGGAACATCAGAACTTCATTCCTGTTTTTTTTTTTTTTTTTCTCCTTTGAGACTTAGTCTCTCTGTGTCGCCCAGGCTGGAGTGCAGCGGTGCCATCTCGGCTCACTGCAACCTCCGCCTCCTGGGTTCAAGTGATTTTCCTGCTTCAGCCTCCTGAGTAGCTGGGATTACAGGCGCCCACCACCATGCCTGGCTAATTTCTGTATTTTTAGTAGAGACGGGGTTTCACCATGTTGACCAGGCTGGTCTCAAACTCCTGGCCTCGGCCTCCCACAGTGCTGGGATTAAGAACTTCATTCTTTTTGATGACTGAATAGTACTTCATTATAGGTGTACACACTATATTTTGTTTATCTGTTCATCTGTTGATGAACACTTAGGCTGTTTCTACCTTTTAGTTATTGGGAATAATGCTGCCGTGAACACATGTACATGTAACTTTGAGTTCCTGCTTTCAATTCTTTTCATTTTATTTTATTTCTTTTGAGACAGGGTCTTGCTCTATTGCCCAGGCTGGAGTGCAGTGGTGTGATCATAGCTTACTGGAGCCTCGGATTCACGGGCTCAAGTGATCCTCTTGCCTCAACTTCCTGAGTAGCTGAGACTACAGGTGCACACCACTGTACCTGGCTAATTTTTAAGTTTTGTGTTTTTTTTTTGTAGAGACAGGGTCTCATTATGTCTCCCAAGCTAGTCCTGAACTTTTGAACTCAAGTGATCCTCTCACTTTGGCCTCCCAAAGTTCTGGGATGATAGGTGTGAGCCACTGCACCTGGCCTGTTTTTAATTCTTTACTCTGTATACCCAGGAGTGGAATTGTTGGATCATATGGTAATACTGTGCTTAGCTTTTTCAGGAATGGGGACCTTGCTTATTAATTTTGCACTGAGAACTGAAAATGATATAGCCTGACCGAGATTATGAATTTTTTAAATCCTCTAGCAAGACCAGCTATATCATTTGCAGTGGTGCAATCTCGGCTCACTGCAACCTCTGCCTCCCAGGTTCAAGCAATTCTCCTGCCTCACCCTCCTGAGTAGCTGGGACTATAGGCGCCCGCCCCCATGCCCAGCTAACTTTTGTATTTTTAATAGAGACAGGGTTTCACCGTATTGGCCAGGCTGGTCTTAAACTCCTGACCTTGTGATCCGCCCGCCTCGGCCTCCCAAAGTGCTGGGATTACAGGTGTGAGCCACTGTGCCTGGCGACACTGTGGTTTTCATTTACACTCTCATTCATATTGTTTTTCTCCTATAGGTAAAAAGTCATTTCTCTCTTGCTGCTCTCAAGATATTTTTGTTGTCGTTAGTTTTCAGATGTGTAATTATGTGTCTGGGTATAGATTTCTTTGGATTTATCTTGTTGGGTTTTACTCAGATTCTTGAATCTGTAAGTTTATATATTTTGCCAAATTTGGTAAAATTTCAGCCATTTAAAAAAATCACTTAAGAAGTTGACTCTGTCTTGTCCAGAACTGTACGTGCAGCAAAGCCATTTTCACCAAACTTCTGTACAGGTGAAATGGCCTTCTGTGAGAAGTGGGATTTATGTGAGATGAGAGTCCATAGAGATACCTCTGGTTTATTTATTTATTTTATTTTATTTTATTTTATTTTATTTTATTTTATTTTTTTGAGACGAAGTCTCACTTTTGTCTCCCAGACTGGACTGCAGTGGCACGATCTCGGCTCACTGCAGCCTCCATCTCTTGACAGACCACGGGTTCAAGTGATTCTTTTGCCTCAGCCACCCGAGTAGCTGAGATTACAGGCGCCCACCACCAGGCCCAGCTTATTTTTGTATTTTTAGTAGAGATGGGGTGTCACCATGTTGGCCACGCTGGTCTCGAACTCCTGACCTCAGGTGATCTGCCTGCCTCGGCCTCCCAAAGTGTTGGGATTACAGGTGTGAGCCACCACGCCCGGCCTTTTTATTTAAAAATTGCTATGTCTTTTTTTTTTTTTTTTACTTTAAGTTCTGGGATACATGTGCAGAATGTGCAGGTTTGTTACATAGGTATACATGTGCCATGGTGGTTTGCTGCACCTATCAACCGTCATCTAGGTTTTAAGCCCCACATGCATTAGGTATTTGTCCTAATGCTCTCCCTCCCCCCCTTGCCCCCGACCTCCTGGCAGGCCTCAGTGTGTGATGTTCCCCTCCCTGTGTCCACGTGTTCTCACTGTTCAACTCCCACTTATGAATGAGAACATGTGGTGTTTGGTCTTCTGTTCCTGTGTTAGTTTGCTGAGAATGATGTCCCTGCAAAGGACATGATTTCGTTCCTTTTTATGGCTGCATAGTATTCCATGTGTGTATATACCACATTTTCTTTATCCAGTCTATCATTGATGGGCATTTGGGTTGATACCAAGTCTTTGCTATTGTGAATAATGCTGCAATAAACACACGTGTGCATGTGTCTTTATAGTAGAGTGATTTATAATCCTTTGGGTATACCTCTGGTTTAAACCTCAATGACAATGTCTGGCTTCTGGCAGAGCTTGCAGTCAACCTCCATGATACGCCAGCATGGTTCTTACCTCACCAGGCACTGGGAATTGGTGAGGTTTATCCTGGATGCCCCTGCGAAGTTGACATTTCTTCTCCTTTGGCCTTGCTCAGTTTGTGCATTTCAAAGAACCAAAATGGGTTCCAAAACTCTGACCTGAGCTGTAGAAAATCATTTGGCTCAACCTTTTCTTCAGGTCAAATGATTGATTTTATGATCCAGGTTACTCAGAGAAAACTCTGCTTACAAGAGGAGGTGTGAATCACAGGAGAAAGACATTGAGGGTTACAAACAAAAAGTGGCAAAATACAGACAGGCTTTTTATTATTATTATTTTTCTGAAAAAGAAGATGCTTAAAAATGGGAATGAATAATCCCATGGTTTTTTTTTGTTTTGTTTTTTGTTTTTTTTCCTGAGATAGAGTCTTGCTCTGTTGTCCAGGCTGGAGTGCAATGGCACAATCTTGGCTCACTGCAACCTCCACCTCCTGGGTTCAAGTGATTCTCCTGCCTCAGCCTCCAGAGTAGCTGGGACTACCGGAACGTGCTACCATGCCCAGCTAATTTTCATATTTTTTGTAGAAATGAGGTCTTGCTATGTAGCCCAGGTTGCTGTCAAAATCCTGGGCTCAAGCAATCCTTCCACCTAGGCCTCCCAAAGCAATGGGATTACAGGCATGAGCCACCGCACCCAGCCGAATAACCCAAAATTGTATTAATTAAATATACAACACTGAAATATACTTGAATAGCACTGAAGACAAATGAGGATATGAGCAAGAAAAAGGGAGAGTGAATAGTTGGCGTGGAGAAGCAGAGGAGTAAGGAAGAGAGGGGTGGAACGGGGGAGACCACGCCTGACATTGTCGGGGGAAAGATGGGGAGCAGGAGAGAGCCTCTGTGTAAGCACGATCCAGCACCAAGTCCCAAAAGCTGCCTGTCAATCAACCGCTCCTGACACCAGCTGCTTTTCCCTCCAGCGCCAAGGGAATACTGCAGAATCTTCTCAAACGAGGGCAATTTGTGCCCCAGTGGACATTTGACAATGTCTGGACACGTGTTTTGTGGTCACAACTGGATGTGGGGGTTCCTGGCATCTAGTGAGGACAGGGATGCTGCTCCACCTCCTGCAGAACATAGGACGGCCCCCACAACTCAGTAACCCAGCACAAAATGTCCACCTTGGTGTGGTTGGCCGGGTGCCGTGGCTCACGCCTGTAATCACAGTTCAACTTTGGGAGGCCAAAGCAGGTGGATCACTGGAGCCCAGGAGTTTGAGAGCAGCCTTTGTAACAGCGTAACACTGTCTCTATTATTATTTTTCTAAAAATTGGCGCGGTTGAGAAACGCTGGAACAGTGTGACAGGCTGAGCAATTCATATCTGGACCACGGTAGGCAGCGATCGAAGGCAAGATGAACATGAGCTCACAGGAGATGCTGACTGACCCCCGCTTAGGTATGTCTTCAGGTCCTTCAGGAGCAAAGCACTAATGTGTGCACCTCACCATCTGTGTTTCAGGGCACATTCCAATGCAATCTCAAACTGCTGTTTTACCTTCAGTGGCCATTTCCTGTGTACAAGCTCCTGGGATAAAAACTTAAAAATATGGAACGTCCACACAGGGGAGTTTCGAAACCGCGGAGCCTGTGTGACCCTGATGCAGGGCCACGAAGGTTCCGTCAGTTCCTGTCACTTTGCCAGAGACAGTGAGTAATTAACACACAGAAGGCCTTCATTCCCATGGGAGTGCTGGGCAGAGTTCTCCATGTTCCGTTCAAATGGAGAAGCGATTTCCAATGATGCTGACAGGGAGGGCGGATTCTTCCCCACGAGAACAAAAAAGCCAAGAGGGAAGACCACAGGCACCAGTTTACAGTGGTAGAAACTCAGCTCAATGTGGCTTATGCAACCAAAGAAATTGATTAATCCTGTAATGGAAAACTCCAAGAGCAGGTCTGACTTCAGGCATCGATGGGACAAGAGAGTCAATGCTACTGGGAACCCAACTCTTCCACTCTGTCTCTCAACCTAGCTTCCCTGTGTATCAGTCTTTACCCCCAAGGAGGCAAAGATGGCCAGATGCGGTGGCTCATGCCTGTAATCCCAATGCTTTGGGAGGCTGAGGTGGGAGGATTGCTTGAAGCCAGGAGTTCAAGACCAGCCTGGGCAACATAGCAAGACCCTGTCTCTACAAAAAAACTAAAAAATTAGCTGGGTGTGGTGGTGCACACCTGTAGTCTCAGCTCTTCAAGAGGCTGAGGTGGGAGGATCACTTGAGCCCAGGAGTTTGAGACTGCAGTGAGCTGTGATTGTGCTACTGTACTCCAGCCTGGGCAACAGAGTGAGACCCTGTGTCTAAAAAAAAAAAAAAAAGTCCAGGCACAATGGCTCGTACCTGTAATCCCAGCACTTTGGGAGGCTGAGGTGGGCGGATCACCTGAGGTCAGGAGTTCAAGATCAGCCTGGCCAACATGGTGAAACACCATCTCTACTAAAAAATACAAAAATTAGCCAGGTGTGGTAGTGGGTGCCTGTAATCCCAGCTACTCAGGAGACTGAGGCAGGAGAATCACTTGAACCCGGGAGGCGGAGGCTACAGTGAGCCAAGATAGCACCACTGCACTCCAGCCTGGGTGACAGAGACTCTGTCTCAAAAAAAATATATATATATATATGATTATATATTATAATTTTTATATATATTATATATTTATATATTATATATTATATAAAATATAATATATATTTATATATGTTATAAATATATATTATATATTTTTATCATATATAATATATATAATTTTATTTTATATATTTTAATATGTGTGTGTGTGTGTATGTATATATAAAATAAAAGAGGTAAAGAGGACCTCTAGTGGTCCAGCTCAGCCTGGTTCTAGCCCCTGGCAGTCCTGGAGAAACAGACCCTCTGTCTGATGGTGCCAGAACAAGTCCCAGGGAAGACTCCCATTGGCTCAGCTTGGGACACATGTCCATCTCTTAACGAATCACTTAGGGGGCAATGACAGCCTCTGATTGGCCAGGTCTGGGTGACTTGCCCACCTGCAGAGCTAGGGTTTGGGGTCAGAACCCCCTGATGCAGAGGGACTAAGAGTAGGGAAGGAGTGTTTCCCCATAGGAAAGTGGGGAGCTGTTGCCAGATAAAGGGACATAGATGTGAATGGGGGCAGTGACAGGAAGCCACCGCGGCTAGCCAGCTCCAGGGAGGAAAGTGGGTGCTCTTGACACTCAGGAGCCAAACGTATGCTCCCCTCTCCTGGTGAGAAGCTCTGTGTGTCTGGGGGCCTTAGCTGGCACACATGCCATTGGGGCCTGGCTTGAGAAGTGCTAGGGTGTTTCTGGGCAACTTGCCCTCTTCAGCAGCACCCCTTGTCTAAGTCCCACTGTGAGACGCCCTGCCAGCTGCTGTCCTTGGCTTTACGGGGTTCAGAATCACATGCAGGTGAGCCAAAATCATGCCACTGCGCTCCTACACTCCAGCCTGGGTGACGGAGTGAGACTCTGTCTCAAAAAAAAAAAAAAAAAAAAAAGAATCACATTCAGTCAATCATTATTATTCCAGATTCTGTATTTGTGAATTCACCTTCTTGCTGATATCTATTTGGAAACTTAAAGTCAACATTCATGGCACTTTCAAGGTCACTCACAGACGTGAAAAGTAGCAAAAAATCTAAGTCACCTCCCAGCTGAGGTTGGACAAGGCAACACTCTGCCTTCTTGTTTCACCTCCCAAGTGGTAAAATGTCCTTTATGTGGTCTATTTAGTGCCACCGTTTGTTTGATTGTTTGTTTGTTTGTTTTGCTCCCTCTGTTGCCCAGGCTGGAGTGCAGTTGTGCGATCTTGGCTCACTGCAACCCCCTCCTCCTGGGTTCAAGTGATTCTCTTGTCTCAGCCTTCCAAGAAGCTGGGATTACAGGTGCACACTACCATGCCTGGCTAATTTTTGTGTTTTTAGTAGAGATGGGGTTTCACCATGTTGGCTAGGCTGGTCTTGAACTGCTGTCCTCATGTGATCTGCCTGCCTCCACCTCCCAAAGTGCTGGGATTAAAGACATAAGCCACCACACCCAGGCTTTCTTTTGTTTTTTTTTGGTGATTTTCCTGTGTAAAATGGCTCCCTTGGCCATGTGTGGTGGCTCACAGATTGAATTTCAGTGCTGGGGAGGCTGAGGCGGGAGTATTGCTTGAGCCCAGGAGTTTGAGATCAGCCTGGGCAACATAGTGAGACCCCATCTCTACCAAAAAAAAAAAATTTAGCTAGGTGTGCTGGCACCTGCTTGTAGTCCCAGCTACTGGGGAACTGAAGTGGGAGGATCGCTTGAGACCAGGAGTTTGAAGCTGCTATGAGCTAGGATTGCATCACTGCGCTCTAGCTTGGGTGACAGAGCAAGACCTTGTCTCTAAACATATATAAATAAATAAATAAATAAATAAATAAATAAATAATAATTAAAATGATCCCTAACCACAGTGCTGAAGTGCTGTTTACTGTTCCTAAGTGCAAGAGCGCTATGATGGGGAAAATGCATGCATCCATTCATGCATGAGTTATAGCTGCTGGCTGTGAGTTCAATGTAAACAAATCAACAGTATATATGCAATAAGGTGTCTTTAAACAGAAACACACATAAAACAAGGTTACGTATTGATCAACTGATGAGAATGTGACCAGAGGCTCACAGGAACCTGACCCTGTATTTCCCCTAGGAGTGATGGCTCAGTATTTGCTAATTTAGTGTCTGCAAAAACTACAGAGGCCGCCAACCTTTGTGGCGCCAGGGACCGGTTTCACGGAAAACAACTTTTCCACAAATGGGAGGTGTGGTGGATGGTTTCGGGATGATCCAAGTGTATTTCATTTATTGTGCCCATTATTTTTATTATTATTACATTGTAATATACAGTGAACTACAAGTCACCATCATGTAGAATCAGTGGGAGCCCTGAGCTTGTTTTCCTGCAACTAGACGGCCCTATCCGGGGCTGATGGGAGACAGTGACAGATCATCAGGCATTAGATTCTCATTCAGAGTGCACAGCCTAGATCCCTCGCATGTGCAGTTCACAATACGGTTCATGCTCCTGTGAGAATTGAATGGTACAGCTGATCTGACCGGAGGCAGAGCTCAGGTGGTAATATGAGCGATGGGGAGCGGCTATAAATACAGATGAAGCTTTGGCTCGCTTGCCCACCACTCACTGTCTGCTGTGTGGCCCAGTTCCCAACAGGCCACGGATTGGTACCAGTCTGTGGCCCAGGGGTTGAGGACCCCTGTCATAGAACGTAACTACTGTGAATGATGAGAATCAGCTGTAATTGGCTTGGGGTGATGGAGCCACCCCAGGAAGGGGTTTCAGTGTCATCAGAATAAGCTGAGGTGGCACCTTGCCAAGGCATCTTCAGCTGGCTTTGGGCTCACTTGGCTTAGAAATATGACCCCAATCTCCACCCTTTCATTTTCGGTTGCAGGCTCTTTTCTCATTTCTGGAGGATTTGATAGGACTGTGGCTATTTGGGACGTAGCAGAAGGCTACCGGAAGCTCTCCTTGAAGGTACATGTGGCCAGCATGAGATTGAGGATCTGAACTTCCCTCCTGAGTCCTTCCCATGCTCAGTGCTGGGTGCTGGGGATACAGCCGTGGGCGACACAGGTCTAGATGCCTCCGTGGGCTGATGAAGGACAGACAGGAAGCCAGCAAACACACCACCAACAGTGAGGAGTGAAATGGAGAAACCACAACAGGGTGACATGATGGTGACAGATGCGGGGGACCCATCCACACTGCACGGGCAGGGAGAGCTTCCCGGAGAAGGAGGTGTTTGAGCTGAGCACAGAAAGGACTGCATAAGTGGGGATCTTGAAGAAGAAGGGCAGTCCAAGCAGAAGGAACAGCTGATGCAAAAACCCTGAGGTGGGAGTGTGCAAGAACAGCAGAAGTTACTGTGCAGGGCCGGGCGCGGTGGCTCACGCCTGTAATTCCAGTACTTTGGGAGGCTGAGGTGGGTGGATCACCTGAGGTCAGGAGTTTGAGACCAGCCTGGCCAACATGGTGAAACCCCTGTCTTTACTAAAAATACAAAAATCAGCCGGGTGTGGTAGTGTGAACCTGTAGTCCCAGCTACTTGGGAGGTTGAGGTGGGAGGATCGTTTGAACCCGGGAGGCGGAGGTTGCAGTGGGCTGAGATTGTGCCATTGCACTCCAGCCTGGGTGATTAAGCGAGGCTGTGTCTCTAACAAAACAAAACAAACAAAAACCAGAAATGACCATGAAGAGCGACACATACCATAGTGAGGCATGCACAGAAAGCGTGGGGCTCCAAAATGGAGACGTCAACTGGATGCTCTGGGGTACAAGTGAGAGGAGCCCCAACTCAGAGTGGCTCTATGATAAGGGGATGTGTTATCCAACACAGCAAGAACCCACGATTGCCTCATGCTGTGCCCCGTTCCCCCAAGGGGCCCCGCATGCCAGGATTTCTGCACACTCCCTGGTTTCACGATCTCACTGTCACCTTTGGCTGTGAATGCGTGCATCCCTGATTCTTGGTCTTTCTGTCCCCAGGGACACAAAGTAGACATGTGTCCTCCAGCAGCCCATGTTCAGGTCCCTGGGGCTGGTCTAGCTGAGCTGTCTTCTCCTAGGACTTGGGGAGACAAAGCGAGTTTACTCACAGCAAATAAACAGTTTAAAATGGAATGTTAAACCTCTCTGTGCTTAAAGTCTCTCTGTCATCTGGGCACAGTGGCTCATGCCTGTAATCCCAGCACTTTGGGAGGCTGAGGCTGGAGGATCACTGGAAGTCAGGAGTTCGAGACCAGCCTGGCCAACATAGTGAAACCCTATATCTACTAAAAATACAAAAATTAGCCAGATGTGGTGATGCCCACCTGTAGCCCCAGCTACTTGGGAGGCTGAGGCATAAGAATCTCTAGAGCCTGGGAGGCAAGGCTGCAGTGAGCTGAGACTGCACCACTGGACTGCAGCCTGGGTGACAGAGCTGGTTGTTCTATTCTCTCTCCTCTTCTCTCCTCTCTGTTCTCCCATCCCCAAACTCCTGTCCTTTTATCACACTGAGCGGTTTAACCTTCTCTCTGATTCCTTTTTCTCTGACCACACGATGGCCTCACTTTCTGCCTCTTTCCGTAGGGGGAAGGCCAAAGAAGGACAGAGATGCTGGCATAAAGCCCAGCCATCATTCAGTGCCTGAGGCAGCAATAGCAGCTATCTGCTCTGAGCTCCTCTTTTTTTTGAGATGGAGTCTCTGCTGGAGTGCAGTGGCGCGATCTTGGCTCACTGCAACCTCTGCCTCCCGGGTTCACGCCATTCTCCTGCCTCAGCCTCCTGAGTAGCTGGGACTACAGGCGCCAGCCACCACACCTGGCTATACATATATATATATATATATATATATATTTGTATTTTTTAGTAGAGACGGGGTTTCACCGTGTTAGCCAGGATGGTCTCGATCTCCTGACCTCGTGATCCGCCTGCCTCGGCCTCCCAAAGTGCTGGGATGACAGTCGTGAGGCACCGCGCCCGGCCTGCTCTGAGCTCCTATTTACCTAAAGAAAACATCCCACTCCTCCTCTGCTTAAGCCACAGTGGATCAAATTTGCAGTTATTGGAAGCCAAAAGCCCCTCGCTTACAGGGCTTCTGAGGGGTATTCCCTAGAACAAAGAACGCAAACGAAAACCTGAGACCAGCTGGGAATATAATATTTTCCCCCCAATCCTGCTAAACACCCGAGTACTATTTTAAAAAACCATACACAGTGGCACACAGATTTGTGGTCCCGGCTACTTGGGAGGCTGAGGCAGGAGAATCACTTGAGCCCAGGAGGTAGAGGCTGCGGTGAGCTATGATTGAGCTGCTATACTCCAGCCTGGGGGACAGAGTGAGACCCTGTCTCAAAATAAAAATAACTAACTAAATAAATATAGAGTGGGCAGGGCGTGGTGGCTCATGCCTGTAATTCCAGCACTGTGTGAGGATTAGGCGGGCAGATCACTTGAGGTCAGGAGTTCGAGACCAGCCTGGCCAACATGGTGAAACCCCGTCTCTACTAGAAATAGAAACATTAGCTGGGCATGGTGATGGGCACCTGTAATCCCAGCTACTTGGGAGGCCGAGGCTGGAGAATCGCTTGAGCCCAGGAGGTGAAGATTGCAGTGAGTGGAGATTGCGCCACTGCACTCCAGCCTGGGCGACAAGAGCAAAACTCTGTCTCAAAAACAAACCAAAAAAAGCCCCCAAAAAACAACAGCAAAAAAACATAGAATGTACATATATCCCACATCTTTATACTTTGTATTCCACCCTAAATGTTGTTGATGAAACCAAGGAAGTACAATGAGCTGCTCTGCTCTTTTTTTTGTTTGTTTGTTTGTTTTGGGACAGTCTCGCTCTGTCGCCCAGGCTGGAGTGCAGTGGCGTGATCATGACTCACTGCAGCCTCAACCTTCCCGGGCTCAGGTGACTCTCCCACTTTAGCCTCCTGAGTAGTGGGGATTACAGGGGCACGTCACACCATGCCCAGTTAATATTTTGTATTTTTAGTAGAGACAGGATTTCACTACGTTGCCCAGGCTGGTCTCAAACTCCTGGACTCAAGCGATCTGTCCACCTCAACCTCCCAAAGTGCTAGGATTACAGGCATGAGCCACTGTGCTCAGCCAGCTACTCTGAAATGTTAGCAACACTGGGTTCTTGACTCTGTTGTTTTTTTAGAATGGGACCTCACTCTGTTGCCCAGGCTAAAGTGCAGTGGTACAATCATGGCTCACTGAAGCTTCTACCTCCTGGGCTCAGGTGACCCTCCCGCCTCGGCTTCCCAAAGGGCAGGTTACAGGTGTGAGCCACCACACCCAGCTTGTTTTTGTTGTTCTTTCAAAATTATTTTCTCCAGGTTTTCATTAAAATTTGATATTTCTTCAGGGCCATAATGACTGGGTGATGGATGTTGCCATTAGCAACAACAAGAAATGGATCCTGTCTGCTTCCAAGGTAAAAGTGGCCAAGCTTACAATATCGATCACATTCGTCAGAATTGGTGATGGTGGAAGAGTTACTGCCAAGTATAAAATTCCTGGGTGGGTTCGGTGAGCTGTACCTGGCCGGGCCATAGTGTTCACGGAGCTGCCTGGGAATGTGGAGAGCATGTCCTTCCGTCTGCAAATGCAAGGAGTTTCCAGGTATTTCTGTGTCTGAACTGTTGACATTTGAACTTTGTTGGAAAAAGAGTCTGACTGGATCGGTGAGCAGTGGAGCCAATCGGGGGCTTGAAGGGAAAGCATTAGCGAATGGATAAGCCTTGGAGACCACCCAGCTACTTGGGAGACTGAGGTGGGAGGATGGCCTGAGCCTGGGAGGTCGAGGCTGCAGTGAGTCGTGATGGCATCACTGCACTCCAGCCTGGGCCAAACAATGAGACCCTGTCTAAAAACAAAAAGCTGGGTGTGGTGGCCGCTCATGTCTGCAATCCCAGCACTTTGGGAGGCCAAGGTAGGCAGATAGCTTGAGCTCAGGAATTTGAGACCAGCCTAGGCAATGTGGCGAAACCCTGTCTCTACAAAAAATTAGCCAGGCATAGTGATGTGAGCCTAGAGTCTCAGTTACTCCAGGCCCAGCTACTTGGGAGGCTGAGATGGGAGGAATGCTTCAGCTTAGGAGGCTGAGACTGCAGTGAGCTGTGACCATGCCATTATACTCCAGCCTGGGCGACAGAGTGAGACCCTGTCTCTTAAAAAAAAAAAAAGTATTGAATATTTAAACTTTTGGCTAGGCACGGTGGCTCATGCCTGTAATCCTAGCACTTTGGGAGGCAGAGGCGGGAGGTTCGCTTGAGCCCGGGGGTTTGGGACCAGCTTGGGCAACATGGTGAAACCCTGTCTCTACCAGAAATACAAAAAATTAGCTAGGAGTGGTGGTGCACACCTATAGTTCCAGCTACTCAGGAGTCTGAGATGGGAGGATGGTTTGAGTATGGGAGGCAGAGGCTGCAGTGAGCCACAATCATGCCACTACACTCTATCCTGGGTGACAGAGCTAGACCCTGTGTCCAACAAATAAATAAATAAATTTTGTAGGTTATATTATATATTCTTAACATACACAGAGGTAAGACTGTTTAAAAAAGCAAACACAAATAAAATAGAACTGATGAAACACACATCACTTATATTTAATATAAAGCAGTGACTTCATTCTATGAGGCCAGCACCAGTTGGATACCAAAGCCAAGTACAAATGTCACAAGAAAAGAAAATTACAGACCAATATCCCTTATTAATATAGATGCAAATATGCTCAACATAATATTGGCAGATCAAATCCAACAGTACATTAAAAGGATTGTTTACCATGACCAAGTGGGATTTGTCCCAGGGATACAGGGTGGCTCAACATAAAATCAGTGTGATATATCACATTAATAGAACAAAGGGAAAAACACCTATACGATCATTTCAACTGACACAGAAAAGCATTTGAAAAAATCCAAAACCCTTTCATGATGATAATAAAAAACTCAGAAAGCTAGGAATAAAGGGAAAATTCCTCAACATGATAAAGAGTGTTTATAAAAAATCTGCAGCTAACATGATTCTCAGTGGTAAAAGACTAAAATTTTTCTTCCTTAAGATCAGGATCAGGACAAGGATGCCTACTTTCATTGCTACTATTCAGTATTGTACTGGAAGTGCTAGCCAGAGCTATTAGACAAGAAAAAAAATAAAAATAAAAGGCATCCAAATTGAAAAGGAAGAAGTAAAATTCTCTTCCTTCCCTTCATTCCCTCCCTCCCAACTTGCCTGCCTGCCTCTCCTTCCTGTCTTCCTCCTCTCCTCTTCTCTCCTCTCCCCTCCCCTCCCTTCCCATCCTCTTTTCTTCTTTCTTTCTTTCTTCTCTTTCTTTCTTTCTTTCTTTCTTTCTTTCTTTCTTTCTTTCTTTCTTTCTTTCTTTCTTTCTTTCTTTCTTTCTTTCTTTCTTTCTTTCTTTCTTTCTTT